GGCGCTAGTTTTTGTCATGTGAGGAGAAGTATGCCAGACATTAGAGAGGTTTCTTGGGTTACTGCTGGGACCTAGAAGTGAAAGGGGGCTATTCCTAGTTTTATTACTAGGGTCATTATTATTGTTAAGGATGAAAATTGATTACTAGTGTTTATTATTTTTCATTGTCCGGAGGACAGGTTATTGGAAAGGATACCCATCATGAGAATTATAGATGTGGTTGTTTGTGTAAGGAAGTATTTGGTGGCTGCTTCTGTAGAGCGGGGATTTATTTTTTTTAATTAAGATTGGGGTAAAAGCTAGTATGTTTATTTCTCGGCCTATTCAGATGAGAAATCAGTGTGAGCCCAGCATTGTGATAAGAGTTTCTGTGAAAATAGTAGGGTAGATAATAAGTTGAGCTAATGGATTAATTGGCACGGGAAGGGTATGACCAACATTTTCGGGGTATGGGCCCGATGGCTTATTTAACTGACCTTACTTTAAGATGTGGTGTAATAGATAGCATGGAGAATTTTGGATTCTCAGGGGTAGGTTCAATTCGTATCGTTCTAGAAATAAGAGGATTTTAACCTCTATTGTTTACTCTATCAAAGTAATTCTTTTGTCAGACATATGTTCTATGTTTGAGGTGGGACGCTGGAAATTAGGACAGGCATTGAGATATGACATATGCAGAATGCTAGTTTAAGTGGTAGGAAGTTTTTTCATAGAAGATATATGAGTTGGTCATAGTGGAATCGGGGGTATGCTGTTCGAATTCATAAAAACAGGGTGGTTAGAAGGAGGGTCTTGGTAATGAAATTTGTGATATAGAGTTCTGGTGAATGAATATATAGTGTGTAGTGCTCCTAGGAAAATAGTAGTAGTTAGGTCATTTATTACGATAATATTCATGTATTCTGCTATAAAGAAGAGGGCAAATGAACCTGCGGCATATTCAATGTTGAAGTCTGAGACTAACGCTGACTCTCCTTCTGTTAGATTAAAAGGGGCTCGGTTAGTGTCTGCTACTGTGGAGATAAATTATATTCTGGCTGGGGGCATGATGGTAGGAGCAGTCAAAGGAATTCTTGCATTGTGATGAGTGCATATAAGTTAAATGAGCCACTTAAGTAGAACTAACAGCAGGATGATGGCTAGGGTGACTTCATATGAAATTGTTTGGGCCACAGCTCATATGCGCCAATTAGTGCATAATTTGAATTAGATACTCATCCTGATCATAGAATAGACGGTTAGGCTTGATGTGGCTAGTATAAATAGGAGGCCTATATTAAAATTAATTAGAGTATCTGGTATAGGGAGGGGAGTTCACAAGAGGACAGCGATAGGAAGGGCCAGGGTTGGAGCAGTAATATAAAGGGTAATAGTAGATGTTGAGGGCCGTAAGGGTTCTTTGGTGAAAAGTTTTATTGCGTCAGGGAGTGGTTGAAGCAGTCCTTAGGGACCTACAAGGTTAGGTCCTTGTATATAGCCTAAGATTTTCTGTTCAATGAGTGTAAGGAATGCTATAGCGATTAGAGTAGGAATGATGAGTAGGAGAAGGTTAATTATAGGCCTATTGTTAAGAAGAGGACTTGAACCTCTGATTATAAAGTTTTAAGTTTTATGCAATTGCTGGACTCTGCCATCTTAACAAACCCTGTTGTTGGGTTGGGTGTGTGATGATCTGTTTCACTGAGATAGCATCATCTATGGGGTGAGGGCGCTTTATGAAGTGGGCCCTATTTCTCTTATCCTTTTGTAATAGGAGAAATGTTAAATAGACAGAAACTGACTTGGATTACTCCAATCTGAACTCAGATCACGTAGGATTTTAATCATTGAACAAACGAACCCTTAATAGCGGCTACACCATTATTAGCATGTCCTGATCCAACATCAAGGTCGTAAACCCTATTGTCGATATGAACTCTAGAATAGGATTGTGTTGTTATCCCTAGGATAACTTATTCCGTTGATCAAATTATTGGGTCAATGTATATTAACTCGCTTGGACTAGCGCAGTCTTAATTTAGGTTGTTTGGAGGTTGGATTATGCTCTGAGGTCACCCCAACCAAAATTTTTAATGCAGGGATAGTAGGCTAGGGTCTGTAGGCTTTTTTTGAGTTTTTATTTGCATTAATAAATTAAAACTTCATAGGGTCTTCTCTTATATCTGCCTCTTCACGGATAAGTCAATTTCACTGATTAAAAGTAAGAGACAGCTGGCTGGGCACAGTGGCTCACGCCTGTAATCAAAAAAAAAAAAAAAATAGTAATAGACAGCTGAACCCTCATGTGGCCATTCATACAAGTCCCTATTTAGGGAATAAGTGATTATGCTGCCTTTGCATGGTCAGGATACCGCAGCTGTTGAACGTATATCACGGAGCAGGCAGTGCCTCTAATACTGGTAATAATAGAGGTGATGTTTTTGGTAAACAGGCAGGGTAAGATTTGCCGAGTTCCTTTTACTTTTTGTAATCTTTCCTTAGAGCATACCTGTGTTGGATTAACAGTATAAATAATAGGGTGCTTATTAATACTAGGCTTTCAATGGGTTATTCCGATCTGATGTAAGCTTATGCAATGAAGAATATCTTCATGTTACTTTCATTAACATTATTGCTTCTATTAAGTAATAGATTAGTCCAATGTGATGTTAGGAGTTCAGTAGAGTGATTAGAATTTAAGATAGTTAGATGTTGAGCTTGAATGCTTTCTTAATTGGTGGCTGCTTTTGGGCCAACTGTGGTGGTAATATTTTTTACTCTCTGTTGGAAGGCTGTTTCCTATGGTTTAAAGAGCTATCTCTCTTTAGATTAACAGTTAAACTTTTTCTTTTTTTTTTTTTTGAGACGGCGTCTCGCTGTGTCACCCAGGCTGGAGTGCAGTGGTGCAATCTTGGCTCACTGCAAGCTCCGCCTCCTGGGTTCACGCCATTCTCCTGCCTTGGCCTCCCTAGTAGCTGGGACTACAGGCACCCGCCAGCACGCCTGGCTAATTTTTTACATTTTTAGTAGAGACGTGCTTTCACCATGTTACCCAGGATGGTCTTGGTCTCCTGACCTCGTGCTCCGCCCATCTCGGCCTCCCAAAGTGCTGGGATTACAGGCATGAGCCACTGCGCCCGGCCTACTCTACAACCTTTTTAGGGTTTGCTGAAGATGGCGGTATACAAACCGGGGGCAAGAAGTGGTGAGGTGTATCAGGGTTTATCGATTATAGAACAGGCTCCTCTAGAGGGATATAAAGCACCACCAAGTCCTTTGAGTTTTAAGCTGTTGCTTGTAGTATTCTGGCGAATGGTTTTGTTAATGTAACTATTAGAGTTTAGGGCTAAGCATAGTGGGGTATCTAATCCCAGCATGGGTCTTAGCTATTGTATCTTCAGGGTATTAAAGCCACTTTCCTAGTATATTTTATTCCAGCTGGAGTTTTTTACAACTTAGATGGAGTTTAGCTTTATTGAGGCCAGACCTTAAACACTCTTCACGCAGAGTTCTATTAACTTGGGTTAATCGTATGGCCACAGTGGCTGGCACGAAATTGACCAACCCTAGATAACAGCATAGCTTAAACTTTCATTTATTAATAACAATTTATCATTGCTGTTTCCCATGGGGGTGTGGTTGAGCAAAGTGTTTTGAGCTGCATTTATGCGTGCTTGATACCTGTTTCTTTTGATCTGGGTGATCTAGAAGGCATTTTCACTGGGGCGTGGGTGCTTGCATGTGTAATCTTACTAAAAGCTAATAGAAAGGCCAGGACCAAACCTATCTGTTTATGGGGTTGTGCAGGCCCATCTAGACATTTTCAGTGTCTTGCTTTGAATAATTAAGCTACATTAACTGCATAAATACTTGTGTAAAATTAAAATATGAGAAGGAAAGAAGTAAGTATAAATAGTCGTTTACAGTTCTGGGAATTCAGGGTCTTTAAAGTTGAGTTAGCAGAGGTTTGGCTGAGAGGACCACTCATAATTCGGACATAATTGATTTAGGGTATGGTGTATGGGGTAGCACTTTCAGAGGGGTACGCTCAAGGTATATCAGTATTAGGGTGGAAATTTAGTTATTGTATTTGTTATATAAAATGGAGGCTTAATTTAGTAGGAGGATCTTAAGATTTTTAGGAAAATGACATCAATCGAGGGGCGGCTGTTGGGGTATTCATGGTCAAAATATGATTTCTGGGCTCTGACTGGGTTGCATTTTAGTCTCTTGTTTTTGGGGTTTGGCAAGGGTACATTTACCTAGGTTGACGGTAAAGTCAGAGATGGGGGGTTGGGGATTTAATCGGAAATAGTTCTTGAAAGTGAGCGGACATGCATGAGCATACGTGCCTATTGATTAATTGTTATGTCTTTCAAGCATGAATTAATTGATACCTTATGGTTATTATGCCAGCCTGGAATATTCAATATAAGCTTAGCTTCTACAATTGATTTAGCAGGAATCAAATCCAAGTTCATCTATGGCGGATTCGGAGGGGACTAGGCCTTACGCAATGGTGAGTGACAGCATCCCCCAAAGTTAAAAATACCAAATGCATGACAGCGCTCCCGTGACTGGTTAATAGGGTGGTAGTCATTAGTCCATCGAGATGTCTTATTTAAGGGGAACATGTGGGTGATCTTAGTTTTATGGCCCTGAAGTAAGAACCAGATGCCAGGTATAGTTTCAGGACAGTCACCCCCAAGTGTTACGGGCCTGGAATGAGAAGGGTAGCACTCCCGAGCGGGATGATGATTTCTCGGAGGCTGGTAGATTAAGAGACCAAAACCTGGCAGGGATATCCATGTTGACAAGGGATTTCTTGACTGAAATGTGCCATGTCCAATGAACGAATATATGCACTATGCAATATTAAGAATTTCTAGTATGGATCAATATTCGTATGGATCAGGTTTTGTTGTATAGTCAATAATAGTATATATATGCATATATATGTGCACATATACATATATACACACATATATGTGTACATATACATATATATATACACACACACCCATAAAAAAAAAATGGCCCATAATGCCACTGCTGAGATGGCCTCAGTTGATCTTTTAAAAACAAAACAAACAAGAAACAAACAAAACAAAGGGGATATCTGCACTGGGTTGGGACATTCAAAAAGCATCAAAAGGCAAACAGGCATTACTGCTACAGTTGCTCAAGCCAGAAACTCTGCAGTCTGTGACCTTTCTCCTTCACTGTCTTGTATTCCACAACCAAACCCTGATCATAACCTGTCGATTCTGCCTCTACACGTAACTGATTCACCCCCTTCTCTCCTCCCCCACCAGCAGGCTCCTGCTTGTTCCCCTGGACGATTCCAACAGCCTCCTTCCGCCCTCCCAACTCCCACCCACACCTGTGCCTAGAAGCTTAGAAAGGTTAAGTAACAAGCCCAGGTCACACAGTTGGGGAACGACATGGCCAGGACAGCTCCGTGTGTCTGGCCCCCGTCTATGCTGTCCCCACTGCACTGTCCTCTCTCGCTTGTGCTGCCTGGTTCCTCCCTTCCCATGGTGCACATCTGCTGAGTGAATGCAATGACAGTGGCGCAGCAGGTTTAAGCAGAGAAGGTGCCAGGTCTCGTCCCGAGTCTCACCCGAGTTCTTACCATGTAGGCCACCAGTGCCAGCTCATAGATGATGCCCTGGGCGCCGAGCTCCGTCACGTCAATCAGTCCTGAAACATCAGCACACACAAAACACATTTCAAAAAGTATATAAACATTTTCCTTATGAAACTAGAACTTATTTTAAGAGAACCTAAGGATGCCCTCAAGAAGCATAACCTGGTGGCAGAATTCACCACGTGTGCTGAGAAGCCCAGACATCCTGCCCTGAGCGGTTGCGATGACCATGATCTCAGGCAGCTCAGATGTAACACAGGTTCATTCTACAAATCCCTACTCCACTAGGGAACAAAACATTAGGTTCAAAGTAGAAAAAAGAATGGCCAGGTGCAGTGGCTCACACCTGTAATCCCAGTACTTTGGGGGGCTGAGGTGGCAGGATCACCTGAGCCCAGGAGTTTGAGACCAGCCTGAGCAACATAGTGAGAACCCCATCTCTACAAAAAAAAAAAAAAAAAAAAAAAAATCCCAAAACATTAGTTGGGCATGGTGGCACACTCCTGTAGTCCCAGCTACTCAGGAGGCTGAGGCCGGAGGAGCACTTGAGCCCAGAAGGTCGAGGCTGTAGTGAGCCCTGATGGCACCACCGCACTCCAGCTTGGGTGACAGACTGAGACCCTACCCCCACCCCCAAAAAGCAAAAGAAAGTGAGGCTGTTAAAGTTGCAAGTCACTCCCTAGAGAGACATGGGGTCACATGGTGGGAGGGGAGGCGGAGGCTGCAGAACTCTACAGGTAGCTGATGGGACTGTTGATGTGTGCAAGTGTCCGTAGAAATGGCAACGTTGTCACTGTCACCCTCTGCATCGACTGTTTATTACTTCACTAATAACAAAATGGCTAAAGTAAATATCTACGGCAGAAACGATTACAGTTCCAACAGAAACATGGCTAAAACAGGGCTGAATCAGTCGCCCTGTGTACATACAACTCTTAGAAATTCGGGAGGCTGAGGCAGGAGAATGGCGTAAACCCGGGAGGCAGAGCTTGCAGTGAGCTGAGATCCAGCCACTGCACTGCAAGCCTGGGCGACAGAGCCAGACTCCGTCTCAAAAAAAAAAAAAAAAAGAAATTTGGCTTGGGCTGGTGCGGCGGCTCATGCCTGTAATCCCAGCACTTTGGGAGGCCAAGGCAGGTGGATCACTCGAGGTCAGGAGTTCCAGACCAGCCTGGCCAACATGGTGAAACCCCATCTCTACCAAAAATACAAAAATTAGCCAGGCATGGTAGTGCATGGCTATAGTCTCAGCTACTTGGGAGGCTAGGGCAGGAGAATCGCTTGAACTAGGGAGGCAGAGGGTGCAGTGAGCCGAGATCGCGCCACTGTACGCCAGCCTGGGTGACAGAGCGAGTCTCTGTCTCAAAAAAATAAATAAATAAAAATTAAAAACCAATTTGGCTTGATGCCTGGCCAAAGTCAGCTGAGGCACAAGCTACTTCATGAGACCTGGGGTCGGGCTTTTGTTCCTTCAGTTCGTGACCTCTGGCAAACCTCTGACCAGCAGCTTCCCTTTCTTCACTTACAAAATGACGGGTGTTGCAGTAGAGCCAAAACCCCACCCAGCCTGAGTCTGCTAACGATGGGATGAGGGCTTAAACCTATATTGAAAACCTCCATGAGAGCCTAATGAAATGAGGCAGGACAAAGCAGCAAAGCTGGAGCTTCCTGGGAATCTCTGGAGACCTGACTGGCCCGGCTGAGGACAGCTTTCGGCTGCACTGCTGACAAACCTGCAAGGAAGTTTCCGATCTCAAAGGTCCACCGCTCAATGCACACCATGAACATACTGGAAATAACCAGGCAGATGTAGGAGCCCCGCTCCTGGAAGCACTCCCTTGTCCAACCTAGGGAACAGGAAAGAAAACAGGCGTTTGCTTTTCAACAGTCTCTGGCACCAACAATTCTGTTTCACACACCCATACCTCGCAAATGGCCAGAGACTAGGTGCAACCTCAGTTCTCCAGCAAAGTATAAAGATGCCAAACAGATTGAGATGGCAGGCCCTAAGCTGGCAAGACTCAGTAGATGCCCTTTCACCCACACATTCTACTCCTGGGTATAAATGGCAGAGGGATTTTTGTAGACCTCTGTAAAAAGACATGTAGAAAGCCAGGTGAGGTGGCTCACGCCTGTAATCCCAGCACTTTGGGAGGCCAAGGTGGGTGGATCACGAGGTCAGGAGTTCAAGACCAGCCTGGCCAACATGGTGAAACTCCGTCTATACTAAAGATACAAAAAATTAGCCGGGTGTGGTGGCACACGCCTGTAATCCCAGCTACTCTCGGGAGGCTGAGGCAGTAGAATCACTTGAACTCGGGAGGCGGAGGTTTCAGTGAGCTGAGATCGCACCACTGCATTCCAGCCTGGGCAACAGGGTGAGACTCCTCTCAAAACAAAAATAAAAGACATGTAGAATATTCACTGTGGCAGACGTTAGCTGAGGGGTGTGGGAGACAACACGGAACTAGAGGAGTAAAATACGATGTACATTATGATTAAAAGCAAAATTGATGTATATATAGCAATGTGGATATTTAAAATACATAGTGCTCACAGGCAACAAAAGTAAACATAGATAAATTGGACTACATCGAAATAAAAAGCTTGTGTGTATCAAAGGACACAATCAGCAGAGTGAAAGGGCAACCCATGGAATGGGAGAAAATATTTGCAAATCATATAAGGACATCTGGATATCATAATGTCCAGAATACATAAAAAAATTTCTATGGCCAGGCGCAGTGGCTCACGCCTGTAATCCCAGCACTTTGGGAGGCCAAGGCGGGTGAATCACCTGAAGTCAGGAGTTCAAGACCAGCCTGGCCAACATGGTGAAGTCCTGTCTCTACTAAAAATACAAAAAAATTAGCCAGGCATGGTAGTGGGTGCCTGTGATCCCAGCTACTCAGGAGGCTGAGGCAGGAGAATCGCCTGAACCTGGGAGGTGGAGGTTGCAGTGAACCGAGATCGCACTACTGCACTCCAGCCTGGGCAACAGAGTGGGACTCCATCTCAAAACAAAACCAACAACAACAACATCAACAACAAAATTCCTACACTCAACAAAAAAAGAAGTAACCTGTTTTAAAAAAGGGAGGGCAACAGACTTGAAGAGGCATTTCTCCAAAGATGATACATAAATGGTCAATGAATATATGAAAAAATGCTCAACATCAGTAACCTGAAGGAAATGCAAATCAAAACCAAAGTGAGACATCACATCATACCCATTAGGATGGCCACTATCAAAAAACCCAGAAAATAACAACTGTTGGTGAGGATGTGGAGCTCTAGACCCCTTGTGCACCATTGGTGGGAAAGGTGCAGCTGATGTGGAAAAACAGTATGATAGTTTCTCAAAAAATTAAAAATAGAATCCCCATATGATCCAGTAATTCCACTTCTGAGTATATGCTCCAAAGAATCAAAAGAAAGGTCTTGAAGAGATATTTGAACACCCATGTTCAAAGCAGTACTATTCACAAAAGCCAAAAGGTTGGAGAACCCTTGTGTCTATCGGTGCATGAATGGATAAAACAAAGGTGGTGTATACATACAATGGAATACAATTCAGCCTTAAAAAGGAAGGGAATTCTGAAATGTGTTAAACAGGGATGAATCTTGAGGACATTATGTTGAGTGGGTGGGTAACAAAACGACAAATACCATATGACCTTCAATTATATGATGAATCAAGAATAGTTAAACTCATAAGAACAAAAAGTAAAATGGTGGCTGCCAGGAGTTCAGGGGCAGGGAGGAATGGGGAGTTGTATAATGAGCACATAGTTTCAGTTCTGCAAACTGCAAAAGTTCTAGAGATGGGAGGTGGTGATGGCTTTACAACAATGTGAATGGACTTCATGCCACCAACTATACACATAAGAATGGTTAAAGTGATAAATTTTGTGTTATGCATATTTTACCACAATTAGAAAAAATGTAAAAAGAAAACAATGTGCAAAGTCAGGGGTTAACAAACTTTTTCTGTAAAGGGCCAGATGGTAAATATTTTCTACTTTGCAGGCCAAATGGTCTCTCTGTGGCAACCACTCAACTTTGCTCTAGCAGCCTAAGAACAGCCATGGGCAACATGTAAGTGATTACACATGGCTGTGTTTCAATAAAACTTTATTTTAAAAAAACAGGCTGCAAGTTCATGGGTTTGCCAACATCTGTGCTAAGTGAAAAGGTTTACAAAAAAGAAAGAAGTCTAGCCAAGTGTGGTGGCTCACGCCTGTAATCCCAGTACTTTGGGAGGCTGAGGCAGACAGATCACTTGAGGCCAGGAGTTCGAGACCAGCCTGGCCACCACGGTGAAACCCCATCTGTACTAAAAATACAAAAATTAGCCAGACATGGTAGTGGGCGCCTGTAATCCCAGCTACTCTGGAGGCTGAGGCAGGAGAATCACTTGAACCTGGGAGGCGGAGGTGGCATTGAACTGAGATCACGCCACCGCACTCCATCCTGGGCAACAGAGCAAGAATCTGAAGAAAAGAGGAGGAGAAAGGAGGGGAGCGGGGGGGAAAAGAAGTCTAAACTATAACACTATATTAGGTAAATATAAACATATATATACAGACTAAAAAAAATTCTTTTAAAGATACATATTAAAAGATACATGTCACTGGCTGGGCACGGTGGCTCATGCCTATAATCCCAGCACTTTGGGAGGCTTAGGCAGGAGGATCAGTCGAGGCCAGGAGTTCAAGACCAGCCGGGGCAATATAGTGAAACCCTGTCTCTACTAAAAATAGAAAAATGATCCTGGTGTGGTGGTGCACACCTCTAGTCCTAGCTACTCAGGCGACTGAGGTGGGAGAATCACCTGAGCCTGGGATATGGAGAGTTCAGTGAAGCAAGATTGTGCCACTGCACTCCAGCCTGGGCTACAGAGCGAGACCCTGTCTCAAAAAAAAGTGTGTGTGTATATATATGTGTATATATATATATATATATATAAATAAACACGGAGAGAGTGCCTTGAGGGAGGAGAATGGGAACTTTGAAATGAAGGTAGAAATACCCTAAAATGGTAAACTGGGGCAGGGATAATGGAAGGAATGATGACATCAGCATGCCATGAATGTGAGTATGAGAAACTCAGTGCTTTGCATCTGAGGTTCAGGACTGGAGGGGGAGGGGGAGGGGGAGAAGGGAGGAGTCAGGCATTGAAAAACATCGAGAATTTCTGCAACATAAAAGCAAAGAAGGCACCAAGAGCCAATCGGCAACTTACCTTATCGGGGAGCAATATGGTCTGCTCTAGGAAAGAAGAAGAGCCAGGCCCTCACCCCATAACTGCAGACTTGGAAGTGAAGGTTTGAGGGAAGAACAACATGAAGAACAGTAGAGAATGAGCTACATGCACTGTGATGGCTACGAATGGTGAGAAGGTGAGAGCGAGTCAAAGCATAGGTCCCAGTGAGCAGGGACTTAGGAGCCAGGAGAGTGGTGTCCCCCATCCTTGTGTAAACGAGGACCAGAAAACCTGCCTGCCAGCCTGCAGTCATGGCACAAGCACGCTGTCTATCACAAGCCACTAGCAAAAGGGTCACTGTGCACAGGACAGAGGCCTGAAGCCAGAGCACAGTCACAGTGAGGAAACCCTGAACTAAGACACTGGTTCTAGAGCAAGGATATTTCACAAGACCTGAGCAGATGCAACCCTAAAAAAACGGACGGGGCACACATGTGACGCACAGGAACACAACCCCCTCGAAAGAGAAGGGCACAGACAAAGCCATAAGGAAGTCAGTCAAAACTACAGTCTCAGGTGGCAGGCATCCATCTGACACTGCTGAGTAAACTCGAATACTGTATTTCATCATGTCAATGAGGTCATTATGTGCCGAAAACAGTTTGACAATTAAACTGTGTCATAAGATCTTAAGACATCAATTGAAAGACGAATTCCAATTTTAAAGACATTAAAATGGAAAAATTATGAGTCTTAGAATCAACAAAATACAGGTATAGATATGTTCCATGACTCAAGACATAAACAGATATTAAATCTGATACCAGGAAAGAAACTTCACAAAACCAGCACACAAAAGATTTCATACCCAGTGAAGTAGGAATAATAGGATAATCTGAAAAAAAAAATTTAAATAAGCATTCTTAAAATGTTCAAAGGCAGGAGGTTTTGAAATAAGAATCAACAGATATAAAAAAGAACCAAGGGGCTGGGCATGGTGTTTCAGGCCTGTAATCCCAAAACTTTGGAAGGCTGAGGCTGGTGGATTGCCTAAGGTCAGGAGTTCAAGATCAGCCTAGGTAACATGGCAAGACCCCGTCTCTACAAAAAAATACAAAAATTAGCTGGGTGTGGGTGGCACACACTTGTAGTCCCAGCTACTTGGGAGGCTGAGGTGGGAGGATCGCTTGAGCCTGGGAGGTGGAGGTTGCAGTGAGCCAAGATCACACCACTGTACTCCAGCCTGGGCAACAGAGTGAGGCCCTGTCTCAAAATAAGAGAGAGAGAAAAGAACTGAGTAAAATCTTAGACATAAAAAATATAATTATTGAAATTATAAACCGTTTTAAATATAAATAAAAGTGCTGGGATTGCAGATGTGAGCCACCACACTGGGCTTCACTTAGATTTCTATACCCAGCAATATTCAAGAGAAACATTCAAGAGAGCAGGCTGGGAGCAGTGGCTCACACCTGTAATTTCAGCGCTTTGGGAGGCTGAGGAAGGAGGACTGCTTGACTCCAGGAGTTTGAGACCAGCTTGAGAAAAAAAGTGAGACCCTGTCTCTTCAGAAAATTAAAAAAAAAAAAAAAAATTAGCCAGGTTTGGTGGCATGTGCCTGTAGTCTGAGCTACTTGGGAGGCTAGGGTCGGAGGATTGCTAGGGCCCAGGAGGTCTGCACTCCAGCCTGGGTGAAGAGCAAGACCCTGTCTCAAAAACAAACAAAACTCCCCTCAACAAGTTAGGTGTAGAAGGAATGTACTGCAACACAATAAAGGCCATATATCACAAGCCTACAGCTAGCATCATACTCAGTGGTAAAAAGGTAAAAGCTTTTCCTCTAAGATCAGGAAAAAGACAAGGAATGCTCACTCTCACTATTTCTTTTCACCATAGTACTGGAAGTCCTAGCCACAGCAGTTAGGCAAGAAAAAGAAATACAAGGCATCTAAATCAGAGAGAAAGAAGTAAAATGTTCTGTTTGCAGATGTCATGATGGTATATAGAGAAAACCCTATAGACTCCACCAAAAAATTATTACAACTAATTTAAAAATTCAGTGACATTTCAAGATATAAAATCAATATACAAAAATAGTTTATGTTTCTTTATAGTAACAATGAACAATCCGAAAAAAAAAAATTAAGAAAACAATTCCCTAGCCTGGGCAACATGGCGAAACCCCGTCTCTACAAAAAAATTAGAAAAATTAGCTGGGCATGGTGGTGCACACCTGTAGTCCCAGCTACTCAGGAAGCTGAGGTGAGAGGATCCCTTGAGCCTGGGAGGCAGAAGTTGCAGTGAGCCAACTCCACTCCAGCACCATTGCACTCCAGCCTGGGCGACACAGTGAGACCCTGTCCCAAAAGAAAAAACAAAAAATCCATTTACAATTAAATCAAAAAGAATAAAATACTTAGAAAAAAATGTAACCAAGCAGGTGAGAGATCTTTATATTTAAAACTACAAAGCATTGATGAAAAAAATCGAAGACACAAATGAATGAAAAGATATCCCACGTTTATGAATCAAAAGAATCAACACTGTCAAAATGTTCACACTACCAAAGTGATCTACAGATTCAATGCAATGTTTATCAAAATTCCAAGAGACTTTTTTTACAGAATAGAAAAACAATTCTAAAAATTAGCATAGAACCACAAAAGATCTCGACTAGCCAAAGCAATATTGAAAAAGCTGGAAGCATCACACATTCTGATTTCAAATTGTATCATAATCATAATGAAAACAGCATGGTGGCTGGGTGTGGTGGCTCATGCCTATAATCCCAACATTTTGGGAGGCTGAGGCAGAAGGATCACTTGAGCTCAGGAGTTTGAGACCAGCCTGGGCAACACAGCAAGATCCTATCTCTACAAAAAATTTTTTAAAAATTACCCAGGCATGGTGGTACACACCTGTAGTCCCAGCTACTTAGAAGGCTGAGGAAGGAGGATCGCTTGAGCTGAGGAGTTCAAGGCTGCAATGAGCTATGATGGCACCACTATACTCCAGCCTGTGTGACAGAGTGAGACTCCATCTCTTAAAACAAAAAACAGTATGGTACTAGCAATGGAAGGCACACAGACCAAGGGAACAGAATAGAGAGCCCAGAAATAAACCCAGACATACATAGTCAACGAATCATCACCAAATGCTCCAAGAATACACAATTGGGGAGGAGTAGTCTCTTCAACAGATGGTGTTAGAAAACTAGAAATTCACATGCTGGAAAAAAAATTAAAAGAAATTGGACTCTTATCTTACATCATACACAAAAATCAACTCAAAATGGATTGAAGACTTAAACATGACCAGAAACCATAAAACTCCCAGAGAAAACAGGGGAAAAGCTCCATGACATCGGTCTTGGCAATGCTTTTTTTCTATGACACCAAATGCATAGGCAACAAAGACAGAAATAACAAGTGGGACTACATAAAACTAAAGCGTTTCTGCAGAGCAAAGGAAATAGTCAATAAAATTAAAAGGTAAAGTACAGAATGGAAGAAGATACGTGCAAACCATTTATCCAATAATGTGCTGATATCCAAAATAAATAAGGAACTCATACAACTCAATAGCAAAAAAAAAAACAACCCATGTACAAAGGCTTTAAATAGTCATTTATCAAAAGAAGACATACAGGGCCAGGTGCCATGGTGCACGCCTGTAGTCCCAGCTACTTGGGAAGCTGAAGCAGGAGGATCCCTTGAGCTCAGGAGGTCAAGGCAGCAATGAGCTATGATTGCACCACTGCATTCAGCCTAGGCGACATAGCGAGACCTTATCTCTTAAAGGAAAAGGCCGGGCACGGTGGCTCATGCCTGTAATCCCAGCACTTTGGGGGGCTGAGGCGGGTGGATCACGAGGTCAAGAGATCGAGACCATCCTGGCCAACATGGTGAAACCCTGTCTCTAGTAAAAATACAACCGGGTGTGGTGGTGCGCGCCTGTAATCCCAGCTACTCGGGAGGCTGAGGCAGGAGAATCACTTGAACCCAGGAGGCAGAGGTTGTAGTGAGCCAAGATTGTGCCTGCACTCCAACCTGGTGACGGAGCAAGACTCTGTCTCAAAAAAAAAAAAGATACACGAATGACCAACAGGTCTATGAAAAGGTGTTCAACATTACAAATTATCAGAGAAATAGAAATCCAGACCACACTGAGATATCTATCACCTCACACCTCTTAGCACAGCCATTATCAAAAAGAAGGTGTTGACAAACATATGAAGAAAAGAGGACTTTTGTAAAATTTTGGTAGTAATGTAAATTGGTATAGCCAGTATAGAAAAAAGTATGGCGGTTCCTCAAAAATGTAAAAATATAACAATCTTATGATCTAGTAATCCTTCTGGGCATATATCAAAAGGAAATTACTTTCTCAAAGAAAGAGCTGCACTCCTGTGTTCATTGCAGCATTATTCACATTAGCCAAGATAAGGAAATGACCTGAGTGTCCATGGCCAGTGGAATAAAGAGAATGTGGTGCACGCAGACAATGGAATATTATCCAGCCATAAAAAGTAATGAAATCCTGTCATTTGCAACAACATGGAAGAACCTGGAAGCCATCATGCTAAGTGAAATAAGGCAGGCTCAGAAACACAAATACTGTATGATCTCACTTATCTTAGGGGGTGGGAGAAATGCGGACATGTCAATCAAAGGGTACGAACTTTCAGCTATAAGATGAATAAGTTCTGGGGAACTAATGTACAACACGGTGAGCACAATTAATGATAATGTATTGGATACTTGAAATTTGCTCAGGGAGTAGATCTTAAGTATTCTTTCCATGTGCGAAAGGGGAACTAGGCCGGGTGCAGTAGCTCACACCTGTAATCCCAGCACTTTAGGAGGCCGTGGCAGGTGGATCATGAGGTCAGGAGTTCAAGACCTGCCTAGCCAACATAATGAAACCCTGTCTCTACTAAAACTACAAAAAATTAGCCAGGCGTGGTGGTGGGCACCTGTAATCCCAGCTACTCGGGAGGCTGAGGCAGGAGAATTCCTTGAACCCACGAGGCGGAGGTTGCAGTGAGCCGAGATCACGCCATTTAACTCCAGCCTGGGCAACAGTGCAAGACTCCATCTCAAAAAAAAAAAAAAAAAGCGGGGAGGAGAGGGAGAACTATGCAAGGTGATGGATATGTTAATTAGGTTAATAGTGGTAATCATTTCAGAATGTACACACATATCAAAACAACATGTTGTCAGAAGCTAAGTGACTCAAGAAAAAAACAAAAACCCATCATGTTGTACACTTTAAATATATACAAGTTTTAATTGTCAATTATACCTCAATAAAGCTGGAACAAGTAGAAAAACAATAACAAACCTAATCTATTAAACATACGGATGCATGTTAAAATATTTAAAGGAATTTAGCTAAGTTGTAAGTGGCACTAATTATTTATTTATTTATTTGAGACAGAGTTTCTCTCTTGTTGCCCAGGAGGGAATGCAATGGCATGATCTTGGCTCACTGCAACCTCCACCTCCCGGGTTCAAGAGATTCTCCTACCTCAGCCTCCCGAGTAGCTGGGATTACGGGCATGCGCTGCCACCATGCCTGGCTAATTTTGTATTTTTAGCAGAGATGGGTTTCTCCATGTTGGTCAGGCTGGTCTCGAACTCCTGACCTCAGGTGATCCGCCCACCTCAGCCTCCCAAAGTGCTAGGATTACAGGCATGAGCCACTGCACCCAGCCAGTGGTACTGATGATTTAAGAGTTCAGTCTACTTATTTGAATTGATAAGACACTAATAGAACAGAATGATCTGCAAGGAACAAGTAGGATATTTTGTATTTATCTTTTTTTTTCTTTTTTCTGAGACGGAGTCTCACTCTGTTGCCCAGGCTGGAGTGTGATGGTGTGATCTCGGTTCAATCTCCACCTCCCAGGTTCAAGCAATTCTCCCGCCTCAGCCTCCCGAGTAGCTGGGACTACAGGCATGTGCCACCATGTCCAGCTAATTTTTGTATTTTATTTTATTATTTTTTTGTTGAGACGGAGTCTCACTCTGTCACCCCGGCTGGAGTGCAGTGACGTGATCTTGGCTCACTGCAGGCTCTGCCTCCCGGTTCACGCCATTCACCTGCCTCAGCCTCCCAAGTAGCTGGTACTACAGGTGCCCACCACCATGACTGGCTAATTTTTTGTATTTTTAGTAGAGATGGGGTTTCACCACGTTAGCCAAGATGGTCTCAATCTCCTGACCTCGTGATCCACCCATCTCGGCCTCCCAAAGTGCTGGGATTACAGGCTAATTTTTGTATTTTTAGTAGAGATGGGGTTTCTCCATGTTGGCCAGGCTGGTCTCGAACTCCTGACCTCAGGTGATCTGCCCACCTCAGCCTCCCAAAGTGCTGGTTTTACAGACATGAGCTACTGCGCCCGGCCTGGATTTTGTATTTATCATTTTAATTCATTAAACATTAATTCCTAACACCCACTACCTACAAATAGTCTTCTATGAACAAAAACTGCTTTCATGGACATTTTAAAAAATCTCACATTGACCCTGTAATTTTTATGTTTTCAGTAACTTAAACATTTTCTATAATTTTTAGATTTCCCAAAAGATAAGAATCTGGGAGAAAAACATCCAAAAACCAGAATTACATCTTTCTGAATAACAAATCACATAATGTAAGAAATCAATGTCCCCTTGAGAGGTAAAGCCCGCTGGACTTCCTGGGTCAAGTGGGGACTTTGAGAACTTTTCTGTCTAGCTAAAGGATCATAAACACACCAATCAGCACTCTGTAAAAATGTACCAATCAGTGCTCTGTGTCTAGCTAAAGGATTGTAAATGCACCAATCAGCACTCTGTGTCTAGCTTAAGGTATGTAAATATACCAATCAGCACTCTGTAAAATGGACCAATCAGCACTCTGTAAAATGGACCAAGCAGCAGGACGTGGGTGGGGCCAAATAAGGGAATAAAAGCTGGCCACCCCAGCCAGCAGGGGCAACCCGCTCAAGTCCCCTTCCATGCTGTGGAAGCTTCCTTCTTTCGCTCTTCACAATAAATCTTGCTGCTGCTCACTCTTTGGGTCCACGTCACCTTTAAGAGCTGTAACACACGCCGTGGGCTTCTTTCTTGAAGTCAGCGAGACCACGAACCCATTAGAAGGAAGAAACTCCGGACACATCTGAACATCTGAAGGAACAAACTCTGGACACACCATCTTTAAGAACTGTAACACTCACCGCGAAGGTCCGCGGCTTCATTCTTGAAGTCAGGGAGACCAAGAACCCACCGGAAGGAATAAATTCCGGACACACCTTTACCTCCCCAGGTGTCGACGTAGACTTTTTTCCACCACATATACAGGAAAAGCAGAGCAGACAGGGAGAACTGGAAGTGGTGTTGGCCCAGGCAGATCCTCTGCAGAAGAAAAGTAATCATTATCCGCAGGTATATTCCTTCTGGATGAAAATAAACAGGCCACCTTCCACAAGCTTTTGCTCTGAGGTAAGAATCACAGTTATTAGATGAGGCTGGAACTCCTGGACTTTTAATATTTTCCCAAATCCACTTATAATAGACTTTTTTTCTTTCCACCAAGATTAAATTTTGTGGAAGAACCCAATGTTATTCCTCGATGGAAAAACAAAAGGACATAAAGATGTATCACCTTTCCATGTTGTGAGAGTCTTAACCCATCAGATAAATCCCTGAACATAATTAGTTAAAAGGGATGCATCAAACATTACAGTGTTCAAAACACTGGTCTAGGACATAGCAGTTTTGTTTCCTGGGATTATAATACATCTGCTTTGTATTGGAAAATAACCTTGGAGCGTCTTCCATAGGTCACATTTTATCACAACAAATAGAACCATGCCCCACTCTGGCATAGAGAGCCAGGGACTCTGTCCTCTTGTCTATTTTTCCATTCCACTCCCCTACCCAATCCTCCATTTTACCCTTTGTTAATCTATTCCTAAATTTTCTTCTCCTTTTCCCCTATATCCCCAAGCTTCCCTGTGTACATCTGTTGGGGAAACCTCTAAGAGACAGTTTCTGAGGCCCACCTCCCAGGAGAACCTGAGCGGCCCAGACCTCCTGTTTCTGGACATGGGTCAACCAACTGGTGCTCACATCTCCCTGTGGGACTCCAGCTTCCCGGGCCAGCGCCTTGTCCAGCTTTCTAGCAGAAGGTGTGTTTCACTGATGCGTTCTTACGTTCCGTCCTCAGCCAGCCTTTAAAGACTTTCTAGCCACGCTGAGGAGCCTGGCTCTGGCTCCATGCACAGAAGTGTCCCCCAGTGAGGGACAGGCGAATCGGTAGTGCTTTCTTTCTGGGACCCTCATCTCCTCAAGCTTCATAAAGATGCAATTGGGTTCAGTTTCTTACAATTCCAAGATGCTGGGAGAATCCCTAAGGTGTCTGCCCCACTCTGTCTTTGTTGGGTGGCCCCTTTCAGCCTTCACAGACCACAGCAACTCCCTTCTCTAGGTGAACTCCACCTCGACACACAATCAGCTTACACATCGCTTCTTCCCAGGCACCATCCCTATCTCTCCACCCACTAACCCACTGCCCTTCCTTCCAACAGCCTGAGCCGGCTGCTCCTCCTGTGGGGTCCTGTGGCACCCAGTTCTCACCTGGCACACAGACCACCTGAACACCCAACTCTATTGCCTGTCCACCTGTCCATATTCCCTCTACCAGATGATTTCACTCTCGCTGTCCCCAGCTCCAGGGCCAGGAGACCGCACACAGCAGACACTCAGTATCTGTTGAATGAAGGGGCCATGACTTACACCACTTTGAGGTCCAGGGCATACAGCAAGAGGGCATTCATGCCCACGTTGATGACATTTGCTGCAATCCCGGTAATAACTTGAGGCATGATGATGCCCTAAAACCCCCAAACAAATAGGAAAACATTCACATTTTCGAAAGCCAATTAGCTAGCCTGTCAAAGGAACACTCACAGTTAAACAGGGAACAATTTAAATGATGGCAAAGTTACGCAGGACTGGAATGATCAGGAACTGAGATGACCAGATTAGTCTCCTCCGTTGGTGCAGCGTCTAGCCATCCCAACCAGAAGCTTGAAGATGCTTCTGAATGATCTGGTAGGTCATAGTTTCCAGAACAGCAGCAGAGAGAGAAAAGCTCCTGAAGGGCAAATGGGCCCTGATGTGAAGTGGAGGAGAGGCAGCTTGGAAGATATCTGGGCCAAGTTGCTTAAGTTCTTGCGTACAGGACACCCAGCAGCCTGCTTCATAGCAGGTGTGCGGAACAGGCTCACCCTGTTGTTGTAGGTGCCAGTCACTCATTTGTTTTGTTTATACTGTCTATTCAAACATTTTCTTTCAGTAAAACCTCTCTTTCGTACCTGCATTGAAACAGAGAGCAGACTGTTACCAAAGCTGGGCAAGGCAAGAGGGCTGCGGCCTCAGATGGACGAGAAGGGACCCAGGGAGGCAGAGCCCTGCTTCTCTCCACCGTCCACCCAAACCTTGCCTGCAGACTCCTCCTTCGCTGCTCCCTAGTGGCTGTAGGGACCCTAGGCCCTCCTCTCAAAGCAGAAGCACAAGAGCCAGGCCCCAGGCCAGATGCAAAGTTGGCACCAGCCCCAAGAGAGGGGAGGGGTCGGGCAGGGGCTGCAGAGAGAAGGGGGTGGCGGTGATTGAAAGGGGAATGGGACGGATTGATACAGCCGTCTCTCTCAGGCTAGACAATATTCACCTACAAGGCCTCAATCTCTCAGGCAAAGAACTCTAGGGTAGAATTAAAGGGGGAAAAATGTAAATTACTTTTATAGAACATTCCTTACAAATATTCACTAGACATTTTCAGGATTATGGAGTAAAAATTATAAAAAGAATCTATACTTGACTTTGTAAATATCTTGTCTGCAGCTGGAACAAGAATGCTGCCTGTAAGTTTAAACAGAACAACATACACTTCTCATTAATATAAATTCCAATGGTTTAGTTTAGTTCCGGTTTTTAATCTTAAATAAGACACTTCCCCTTGATGTGTGATCTCAGAGAACCTCACTCACATGAGACAATGCTGGGGGGGGGGGGTACTAACTATTTGGAATTTTCCAGAGTGGATAAAAGATGTACTCCCTGAAGAACTGACACAGGCAAATTCTAACTAGCTGAAGCAGACGCCACCGTCTTGACATTTTGAAGGGCTCCAAGGGTGCTCGAATGCAGCACTCCCCAAATCCTAGATGATCCCAGAAACATTCTGGTTAATTTGCAATCAGAAGTAACCGTAGAACAAGGAATCAGGAAGGAAATGTCTTCCCCTCATCAATCTTTGTCTTTGTCTTTTTTTTTTTTTTTTTTTTGAGACGGAGTCTTGCTCAGTCACCCAGGCTGGAGTGCAGTGACTCACTGCAACCTCCATCTCCCGGATTCAACCGATTCTCCTGCCTCAGCCTCCGGAGTAGCTGGGACTACAGGCATGTGCCAACACACCCGGCTAATTTTTGTATTTTTAGTAGAGACAGGGTTTCACCATGTTAGCCAGGATGGTCTCCATCTCCTGACCTCGTGATCCACCTGCCCCGGCCTCCCAAAGTGCTGGGATTACAGGCGTGAGCCCCCGCACCCGGCCCAATCTTTGACTTTAATTTAAGCTACTGGACATCAGAGTGGGACATGTCCTGAGAGTCAGCAAGGGAGGGACAATAGGGCCAAGAAATACATGTTGGGCTTTTGGCATGAACTGCACCAAGATGGAGAAACAAACGAGGGTGGGGGGAAGGGGCATGTGCAGGGTGACACCTGTGACCTGCTTCATGTCATGAGACACAGCAGCCTTGAAACTTACAAGAAGGGCAGGAATGAAAATCAGCACATAAATTTGGGCTATCCTGAAACAAACAAAATCGTCTTCGGTTAATATTAAAACAGTTGCTGGTCATACTGTCTTCAAATTGAACCCACAAGAGTATTTTCTAAAAATTAAAATTAAAAATTATTTATTTTTTAGAGACAAGGTCTCACTCTCATGCCCAGACTGGAGTACGATGGTGCCATCATAGCTCGCTGTAACCTCAAACTTCTGGGCTCAAGTGATCCTCCTGCCTCGGCCTCCCAAAGTGCTGGGATTACAGACGTGAGCCACCAGACCCAGCTTAAAAATGGGGGAAACTTAATAACTTTAAGTGTTTTTCTTCAACCTACACCAACATGACACTAAGTCTACTAAACATCTGCTGTCTAAGGGGAAGCCTGACCACTTTCCATTTTTCAGCTCATTCTTAGCATAAAAGGTAGAATGAACACAGCAAAAGGAACTAAAACTTGGGCAAAATTCAGAAACCATTTGAAAGTGTCAGGGCCACCTAACAGTGAGCAAGACAGTCTTCTAGAAAGGACCACGTGCCCCAAGGACAATACCAGAGAATACGCTGGAATTACAGGTTAAAGAAAAAACCCAACTCTAAAGTCATACATGAAGGCGATTACACTGCTATTCTACTTCAGGGGAAAAGTATTCTATGCATTTGCCACACAGCAAAACGGAGGGACTTGGTGAACGGGAGACAGGCCAGGCACATAACACCCTGGTCCTGTATCTTGTCACCCAGGGTCAGGTGGTCCCTGCAGCCCCAAGACCCTATGGTCCACAGTCACAGCTTCCTTTTTTTTTTGAGATGGAGTTTTGCTCTTGTCGCCCAGGCTGGAGTGCAATGGTGCGATATGGTCACTGCAACTCCCCTCCGGGTTCAAGCAATTCTCCTGCCTCAGCCTCCCGAGTAGCTGGATTACAGGCACCTACCACCAGCCCGCTAATTTTTTTGTATTTTAGTAGAGAGACGGGTTTCACCATGTTGGCCAGGCTGGTCTCAACTCCTGACCTCAGATGATCCACCGCCTCAGCCTCCCAAAGTGCTGGGATACAGGCGTGAGCCACTGCGTCTGGCTAGCTTTCAATTTTTAAAGGGTTCAAGACCATGTAATTGGCCGAAAATGTCCACATAGGTACAATGACCAGATAGCCACCTACTCTTAACCTAGGATTGAAGAAACTGGGAACTTCACCTGGAGACTTCGGGGTCTTGTTTTAAGAGCAGGAGATGCGCTCGTGTTGACAAGTCGGCCAAGCAGGGAAAGCGCAACAGCCATAGGAAGAACTCCCCTCTCCTGCATATGATCCCCACGCGCTTCAGGTTTCTGCCTCCAAAGGACTTGAGGAAACAAATGCGCTGCTAACAGCATATGCCGGGCAGGCCGAGGCTGGGGGCCCGCGCTACAAGCAGCCCCTCCCAGGGGTGCCCGCCCTCCGCCCCGGCAGCCCTGTTTCCCATCATCTGCTCCCGCCCTCCCCACCAACAGCTGACAGCATTGGGGGAGCTTCTGAGCCAGGGACAACCAGTGAGCCAGCTGGCCCCTGTGGCATTTGACACGTGTCCTGGGACAATGTGTCCCTGCTCCCAGAAGCTGGGACAGTTAACATGGAGGGTATAGGCAGCAGAAACTGAAGCTTAGAAGAGAGTTTTCAACATTGGGGGAGACAGATGCTGCAGGAGAGCGTGTGCCGTGGTAGAAGGTGAAGTTGTGGGGGACTCTGAGGGCCAGGGATACTGGGGGAGGGTGCAGAGGAAGAAAAGCACACACTGTAGGCTGAGAAGGGCGGTTAGGGAGGGGGCAAGAACTTCGGGGGGTGGGAGGTCATGGAGGCCAAGGCAGTGCTCTAGAAAGCAGGGATGGCCAAATGGAGTAAGGACGGCCAAGGGCTCACCTGAGGATTTTGTCACAGGAGGCCGGGAAGAGGCCAGGCCCAGTGGGCTGGGCAGGAACGAACAAGGCATCAATGGGAGCTGAGTCAGGAGTGCAGGCCAGGCCTGAGTGCAAAGAACACCTTCAAGAAGCTTGGCCTGAAGGAGGCCAGCAGGGAAGGAGGGATGGTGGTGAGGGAGGGCGATTTTAGGGTATGGGAGACCAGAGTGGGAGGAACAAAGGACAAAATGCCCTTGAGCAGGTGGCCCCAGAGGACAGCACTAGTCAAGCTGACTCTGTCTGCTGTTTTTTTGTTTTTGTTTTCGTTTTTTTGTTTTTTTTGAGTTGAAATCTCGCTCTGTCGCCCAGGCTGCAGTGGTGAGATCTTGGCTCACTGCAACCTCTGCCTCCCAGATTCAAGCGATTCTCCCAATGCAGCCTTCTGAGGAGCTGGGATTACAGGCGCCTACCACCATGCCTGGCTAAGTTTTGTATTTTTAGTAGAGACTGGGTTTCACCATGTCGGCCAAAATTGTCTCGACAACTTAGTTGAAATACCACCGCCCTTGGTCAAAGGCGGAGGAGTGCAGAGCCCCTTACAAGGAACGGGCTACAGAAATTCCTGTGGTTAGGCTGGGCACACCTGTAATCCCAGCACTTTGGGAGGTTGAGGCGGGCAGATCACCTGAAGTCAGGAGTTCAAGACCAGCCTGACCAACATGGCGAAACCCTGTCTCTACTAAAAATACAAAAATTAGCCGGGCGTGGTGGTGGGTGCCTATAATCCCAACTACTTGTGAGGCTGAGGCAGGAGAATCTCTTGAACCCGGTAGGCAGAGGTTGCAGTGAGATATTCTAGGAAGAGAATAGACTAATTTTTAAGATAACTGTGAAAACAAAATTTTTTACCTTTAGACAAATGTTCATAATATAAAAGGATTAACAAAAGTTTTTTTTTTTTTAATAAAAGAACAGTTATTTATATTCCACCTTGTTCCACAAATAATTTGAACTAGTTTACACAAATACTTCCCTAAAAGAAGGATAAATAAATAGCTGTTAGAATTGGGTCAAAGAAACATGGGTGGAAAAGCCTGGAGCCGGGGGTGAGTTGGCATGGGATAGCCTGGAAATCATGCTGAGGTTTTTTGGGTTTTTTTTTCTGCATGATGACTGCAGTAAACAATCACAGATGCTTCAAATAGCTGGAAGGATGATCTGAAGCCTGGGCAACATGACCAGACCCCATCTCTACAAAACTTTTTTTTTTTTTTTTTTTTTTTTTGTTTTTGAGATGGAGTCTCGCTCTGTCGGCCCAGGCTGGAGTGCAGTGGCCGGATCTCAGCTCACTGCAAGCTCCCCTCCCGGCGTTCCACCATTCTCCTGCCTCAGCCTCCGAGTAGCTGGGACTACAGGCGCCTGCCACCCATCGCCCGGCTAGGTTTTTTTTTTTTTGTATTTTTAGTAGAGACGGGGTTTCACCATGTTAGCCAGGATGGTCTCGATCTTCCTGACCTTGTGATCCGCACTGTCTCGGCCTCCCAAGTCTGGGATTACAGGGCTTGAGCACGCGCCCGGCCCTCTACAAAACTTTTAAAAATTAGCTGGAACATTGGCCGGGTGTTGTGGCTCACACCTGTAATCCCAGCAC